TGCCAGTCGGCCATCTTTGATCCAATTGTGAAATAAATCATCATGGACATGTATCCTAACATGTATAATCTATGTACCAAGTTTGAATGAAAACTGACAAAACATGTCCAAAATACAACATTTTCAAAAAACAAGATGGCTGCCAGTCGGCCATTTTGAATCGGATCGCTAAACCACTGCATGTGCATATGTCCCACATGAAGTACTGGGCACATGCAAAGAATGAACAGAATCGATCCAAGGGATTCTGAGATATGACTCCAGATGGACGCACGGACACACAGAGACCGAATTATAAGTCCCCGTTTTTGGATTTCGTCCGAACGGGGACTAATTATCCACACCCTGGTAGGGAGAACCCTAGATCTCCCCCACTTGGTGGCTCCGCTGAATTGCATTGTTTTTTCTAGAAAAAAACCTGCTATATGTAATTTTTTCTGGAGAGAACACTAATACATAGCTGTTTCAGTATGCAACAGGCTGTAACAAAGTGTGCTAACTAAGGCAAAATATCCCAATCATGTTATAAACAGTCTCTCAATCAGAATATATTCCCAATCAGGAAATCAGAATATCCAGTTTGGGATATATTCCTGTTACACAAATAGTACTAACAAAAGGAAGAAGGGGCACAAACAATTACAAATGATATAAATCTCATTTCACGTTTAATTTCAGAATGAAATCCTAAGTCATCAAAATGTCGCACTAAACTGCTGTAATATATGGTCTATATTATTGCACGACTATTTTTGCCGATGACAAATATAAGCGAAAATAAAATGTATTGAAATAAAAAAATAATTGTATATTTCAGCAGTAAAAAAAATGATTTGCAAAGCCCAAATGTTAGTGTTTTCAAGACGGGACGCTACAGTTCTTTAATTTATGACTTCACTTCTCACCTGTAATGTTTGATTCATTCACCAGTTTCGAAGCGCCGAGGTCAGTCGATTGTTTACTACAGCTAGACTTGTCCGCTTCGAGCTCGTCAACAAACTGCAGACTGCCTCGGATGTCCATTTTTTCGGCATCCATGGTATTAACTGATTCATGTTCCTCATCGCGGGTGGACTTTTCCTGACACATTTCGTTCATATTGTGACCATCACTGCTTGTCGACTCCACTCCCAGATCCGATGGGACATCACGATCATTTTTATGAAGGTCGGTTTCATTCCCAGCCTCAGTGTGGACAGCGTGCAGCGACTCTTGGGTCGACATTGAAATTTAAAATTGGTTCTCTTCGTTGACAAAATCCCACACTCTATCGCTTGTTTAAAAATAACTAAATTTACGAAAATTCACAGCTCAATTGACCGATTCTTTAGTCGCAACAAATTATTTCTAAGTTGATCGCCATATTGAATGACATCATCAAGCCTCGAATATCCCATTTTATTGTCATAAACAACATATTCAGGTTATATTGCAAATGTGAAATATAATGTGTATACACGACTTGTGTTGTTCAATGTCTACCAACGCGATTTTTTCATTGTTTTACTAATCCTGTTTGTAGTTTGAATTAATAAATATTGACATTATAGCGTCTGGGCCAACACCCTCCTAATTATCGGCTCTCGCGATATAAAAATGGAATAGTCCAAAAAAACTAGATCTCGCACATGCGTATCACGACAAGTATTTCTACCATTTTGAATGTCTTGAAAGAATCTTTGTTGAAAACTTTGTTTTGTTTCTTCTTCTTCTGACGTTGTTGCGTATTCTTGGTAGTCGCAATCGAGGCGTGAGCTATCTGCCGTGTATATGTCTTCTCGTTTTCTACGCTAAAATCTCCCGACACCGACCGACAAAGTTGGTAATCGGTCTACGACAAAGTTGCTTGGTAGATGGTCTTGTTTTTTGGTACAGCCCAGACAGTGAATTTTCATCTGCAATGCCGCGGTGGTAGGTTGGCATTTTAACTCGCCGTTGTTGATCGGCACTCCTTCTCCAAGATCACACCGAGGTCACCGGACCGTTTGCTGCGACACACTCCGAACACCGGCCTGTTCCAGCAGTTGCGGCATATTCTATATGGACCAAGGCTTTGTTTATACATTGAATCGCAGACGATAAGCCTCTCCGCACTCGGAAAGTTTGTCAAGTGACGGCCCGCTGGTCGGTAACTGGGGTAAGTATGCTTGATCTGTATGCCACTTACGAATTCGACGCATGTTTTGCACCTGTTTTATCAATGTTATATCGTATAGTAGGTTTTTGGTATGCATTCACTTTGTGGAGCTTTCATATTTTTCGATCGACCGTGGTTATTCTCTTGGAAGGCGTTCCCCTTGTTTTAATTTGGACACGTTGTCCCGTTGGTGGAGCAAGGCTGGCTGCAGTCGAGTGCAACTGGTTCAGCCCATCACGGAACAAAACATGTTAATTGGTGCTAGTCTGACATTTTTCAAACCACTTTAAAGGCAATCGTTTGTTCGCAATAATGTAGGTCGTATGCCCGTTTAAATATCACAAACATGGAGTAATTTGACCCCAATTTTATTCAAGAATAATTATTTTACACACTGTGCCAGTGCAAACGGTGTACATTTCAATTCAGTTTTTTTTTAATATGTGATGGATATTTTCATTAATAAATACGTTAACAGCATAACCCTATTCGATTTTAAAATATGATCATGTCAGTGCATTCATGTGTCAGAATATCCAGCTTTAACCTTGGTCATCCGCGAATTATAATAATAATAAAAAGGAAAACAAAGAAAACGCGTCAGATTTTTCCCATCAACTCGTTGCAGCGTCTATAAATGGCTGTCCCATGTGTTGGATGCAACCCCCTGTGTTGGGTAACACGTGTACTGTTATTATTATCATTTCGCTGTCCTAAGCTCGATTGGTTTTTTTATTCGGAACGATTCATCAAATTGTGCTACTCCTGTAGTATTATGTTAAACATAATTCCCGAAAAAGGGTGTTCGGTTCGCAATCCTTTCTTTCGCGACACATCGGAAGCGGTAACAGACACAACAGCCATGGGCCTGTGAAAACGCATATGCAATTTTCCCACGGTTCTTTGTATCGTGTAACATGACGTTGGTACCGACTCCTAACACGCTTGCTTCCCTTCTCTATTATCGTGCGTTTTAAAAAAATTCTCACGACGATAGCCATATCAAAACTATATACATCCCAGTGTACGGTGTCCGTTTTTCCTATTCAGTTTGTAAACTACACGCCAGTTGTTGGGGTCTGCACTTGTAGGGTTTCTAGTTTTTCGACGCAAGTAGTGGCGAGTTAAAAAAGTTTCTCTGAACAATGAGCGAAGTGTTGGAGAGATACACACAGGTACAGTAACTTTTATTGTATACTACCAGTTAGAACAACATAGCCCTTTTACCCAAAGAGGATGACGATTTATATTTTGTACTTTTTCGCCATGGACGTATTCTTTGATGTGCAATTTGTATAATAAGCTAATGCTGCGTTAATAATAGTTGAACCAAGTTGAGACTTGTGTTTCCTTTGTTCAACAGGCCCTTTAAATGCTGTCCTAGAAATTATTTATTTGTGGAACTAATTGAATGAAAAACGTTTTTGAATGGCATGCAACATTTTTACTGCTTTGTTTGAAATACTGGTCCTTATCTTTGAATACCAGTTGTATTACCATGTGTAATTCAATGCCATGTGTTACTCCTGGTTATGAGATCTCTTGTTACTTTTTTTCTCATGTGGGTGGTGGTTTTCAGATGATTCCTAATTGTTCATTCACAATTTAACTTAATATTACCTTACTTAAATAATTTTTTGAATCATTTTCTTTTTGTTTAATTAAACATGCCTCCTGCAAACCAGATATATATATATATAATTTATTACCCTCTCTTTTTAAAAATTCATACAAATTTATCTACATGTAGTTATTACATATATAATTGTACTACTTATTCAGTAAACCCACAACAAGGCACCTATTCCTGCTAACTTCACTGATGTCATTCAAGCTGTTTTTTCTCTATTACAATTACTTCACAGATAACATGTTAAATTTTAGTTATACCAAGTTTAGCATTGACTCATTTTGGCTGCAGTTCAAAATAATTGACACATGAATTTCGTTTAGTGTTCATTTTGTCATATTTGCATATTCCTCCTTGCTGTTAGCACCTGCAGATTATTGTACTAGAGATCTTCATAAGATATGGCGACTCCAGAAAATGCAATTTGCATATCTCTTGCCCTACAACAGTCTCTGGTGATTTTTTAACCAATCACATTAAATGTGTCTTGCTTTGCATCAATATGCATCTGATGGACGCAAAATTGCAATTTATTCACCATATACAGTGTAAGTGTAACTTAACTTCCAAAGTGGCTTCAAATTTGCAATTTTTCAATAATTTTTAGTCTGAATTAGAAACTATTACCGGATTCGGCTGATACCCCGCCCATCCTAAACCCCGCCCATGGGCGATGTTTCAAATAGTGGGCGATGTTTTGGTCCACACATTGCCTGACTGAACCAACAAACATTTTTACAGACCCCAATTTACCCGTCCAACATCTTGCATCGAGCGCACTATTTTAAATATGACGCTAAAAATAATTCACCAATTTCATAAGTAAAAGTCGTAACTTTAGAAGGTACGAGTATTATGGCTCGTAAATACATTTCACTTACGTTTATTACACTCAAATAAAGTCTGCGCTTGAAATGAATGCTTTTCACGAAGTTTGAAATACCCAAGCCTTCCTGATTCGAGCCTCTTGGTTGATTTGACAACGGCAGGTATCGTTAATGTTTAATATTTGTCTGTATCACATTCCTGACGAAAAGTTCAAGATCGGTAAACAGGAAATTGGCGAACTAAAATGTCTCCTGCGTTTCACATGCGACATGATTATTAAAAAACATTCCCAAAGTTAAGCGGTTGTGTACATTCTAGAAATCTAACCTTGCACACATAATCTTATATTGGCGTGTTTTTTTTTGTCCAAAAATGAATGATGTTCTCTTTCAGTAAACTCTTCGCGTTTGTGGTATTTGTGAGAGTTGAAAGATTTTTTGAACAAATGATAAGTAACTATATTAATTCTCTTATGACCAGGGGGTAAGACTCTTTCTAGCCCAGTTGTGATTTAATGTGAATGGGATTTGGCTGGCCGGTTTTTGAGCCTTGTAGACCGACACACTAAATCACAACCGGGCATTGTACATGGTTCACATTTATTCACAACTGGGCAGGCAAACTCACAATTATTCACAATCGGACAGAGACTGAATCACAGTAAATTTTGAATGGTCAGGCATCAGGCACAGTAAATCACAATAGGCAGTCATTGTATCACACTTGCCTATGTTGCTTCACAGTAAATCTCAAACGGACGGTCACTCATTCACAGTAAATCTCAAACGGACGGTCACTCATTCACAGTAAATCTCAATCGGAGAGGCATTGAATCACAGTAAATCACGATAGGCAGTCACTGTATTCCACTTGCCTATGTTGCTTCACAGTAAATCTCAAACGGACGGTCACTCATTCACAGTAAATCTCAAACGGACGGTCACTCATTCACAGTAAATCTCAATCGGACAGACACCCATTCACAGTAAATTTCAATTGGAGAGGCAATGAATCACAGTAAATCACAATAGGCAGACACTTTATTACATTTGACTTTTTGGCTTCACAGTGAGTCACAACTGGTCAGGTAAATTTTCACAGTGAAACCCAATTGGACATACATCGAGTCACAATAAATCTTGAGTGGCCAGTCACTCATTCACAGTAAATCTCAATCGGAGGCATTGAATCACAGTAAATGACAATTGGACAGGCACTAAATCATGGTGAATCACAATTGGTTAGTCAAAAGTTATCACTAGATACGTTAATAGATGGTTAGTCAAATTTTAACACTAAATCACACAAAATTATAAATTTTTACTGAGTAAATAATGTTTGCTTTGCCACAAATAAATGCTATTACCTAGTATCTACAGGCTAAATTTCAACTATGGCAGATGTATCTTTTTCGTTTCTTCAAATCCTGCAAAATATAAGTGCACATGGTCAGGATTATATAATACTGACCAAGTCCCTGCTCCAAAACCCAACTTTCTTGGTAATTTTTTTTCATATGCCCCCAACACTAACCCCATCCCCCACCTCCTTGTTCCTACTCCATGTTTTTGTTCATGTCCCCCCACCCCAATGAGCCCATCCTGGTTTATGTTTTTTTTCCTCTTCCTCGCTGTCTTTGTCCCCTTTTGCCTGCATCTCTCAGTGTTGGTCTTCCTCTCACTGTGGGGTTTCTTCCTCTGCCTGTAGTGAGTCTTCTATCTGCCCATAGTTGTTGTGCCTGCGCTTGGTCTGCTTCATCATACTGTGTCTCACAGGTTATGGTGCTTTTTCCTGTGGATACGTGGTGATATGGCAAAAAACAATCTTTGCACAGATTGATGCCACACTCCCTGCATAGGTACTTAGTGATGTGGTATCCTCCAGCCCTTGTCTTGCGCCCCATTTTTATACAAAATCTGCAGCTGTGACCACGTCCTACTAATTTCACCAATATGTGGTTTTCGTATGTTGTAATGGTTTGTTCAGCATTTCGGACCACTCGTTTTCGAGATGTATAACCACCTACCAGAGAAATACCCACTTCAGCTTGGTATTGCTTGTGTGCCATTTTGCTCTTTGTCACCTCCTTGTATATTACAAAACTATTGACAGAGCATATCCAGAAAAGTAGAAACATACTTCCACCATTTCTGA